AGGCCACCAAGTGAAAGTGGCACCTCAGTCATGAATGACACTTCAGGTTCCTACTACAGGCAACTGTCTCTCAGGCGGGCTTGAGATTTAGAAACAGTAAGAAGCAGCGCGGATCTGGGTCTCGTGAGAAGGGTTAGTGAGCTCTCTGGGCTGTGGACAATCCGATTTTAAATCAAAATTGAGACTGCTTTTCTCACCTGGCTTTGGAGCCTGCACCACCGGCCCTGCCGATTCCCGTCTCGCCTCTGAGCTCAGTCCACCACCCTTGGAGCGCTTCCTTCTCGGCATCAGCCCTCTCTTCCTCAAACCTCAGTTGCTCCTCCTCTGCTTAGCTTCTGCAGCTGCGGTGCTCCAGGCCCCAGGTGTCAAATTCCTCCCTCTTACATCTCCACTCAGCACCTAGGTGACCTCGCCGCCTCGTGGCTTCAGATTCCATCTCTGTGAGGATGGCCCCAGGATTACAGCCTAGACCAAGCCACTCCCCTGTGCTCTACACAAAGGTGTCTAATTTCCCATTTGACATCTCTCCTTGGAGGTCTACAGAAAGCTCTAAGTGAGCGTACCTAAAATAGAACTCTTGATCTCCCTCACCACCAAATACCCCTACCAGTCAGCCCATCCCTCATTCAGCTCAACAAAGGGAAGCTCTATCACTACCCCATGTCTCCACAGCGAATTCACAGCTAACCTAAATACTGGAAAGTTCTCCTTCAGCGTTGACCCTAAATCTAATCACCTTTGGTTACCTCCCTTTCCCTGCCCTGATCAAGCTACTCCACCTGGACTCTACAGAGCTGCTCAGCAGCTGTCCCCAACCCTGCATCCCCAGTCAAAACCTCACTCAACAGCCAGAGCCATCTTTTAAAAATGCCATCAGATTATGTTATTCCCTTGCTCAGACCCTCGAGAACTCCTCAGCACCTCCCTTTCTGCTCGTCAAGATCCCTTGATGCTGCTTCACATGGGGCCTCCCTTTGCCTGGGCGGTTCTCCTCCTGGTCTCCCTTCATCCCCCACTTCATTCCGTTCAAGTGTCAGCACCTCTGAGAGGCCTCCTCTGGCTGAACACCCACCTTCTGCCTCTCCACACTCTGCCTTTCTCCACTGGACTTCACAGACTTTCACCCTGGCCCTTTCACTATGTAAATATATGTGCATGTCATGGCTGACTGCTTATTGCCTGTATACCTCTGCCCCCAAATTGAAAAGCTCTGAAGGAAGGGATCTGGTCTATTCTGCCGTCAGGGCCTGAAAGAGTGCTTGGCAAATACGGGTGCTCAATAATGCACTGTGGATCAATCAGGGACATGCTGGAGCCTCCTCACATGGGCCATGCTCCCTCCAGCACAGGTCCCTCGCCATGATCTTCCCTCAGTCTTGCTCCATGGCCCACGGCCTTTGACATTTTGATGCCTCATGGTCTCCTGCTAGTCTCAGCTCATGGTCACTTCATTCATTTACACAATCTGTCAATCATTCAGTCAACATGCAGTTGGTGTAGTTCTAAGCTCCAGGGATAGAGTGAACAGAACAGACTAAGCCCTTGCCCACATGGGGCTCACAGTCGAATGGGGACATAGACATGTGTGCATGTGCACACGTGTGTGTGTGTGTGTTTATGCATCAGATCATGGCATACACTACAAAGAAAACCTCAGCATGGCAGGGATGAAGCAGTGATGCTTGAGATCTGGTGGTTAGGAGAGGCCTCTCTGAAGAGGCGACTGTTGAGTACTGGAGCCTGACAAATGAAACCGTGTAGGATCTAGAATGTCCACCCCAAGCCACCCTGCCCTGACTAGCTCAGATTTATCTGTTATAACTTTTTGGGGACACCCTGGGCCTCTGGTACAGCACATGCTACAATTCTGATTCACGTGTGTTGCTGCAATCCTTTGGTTAAGGTCTGTCTCTTCTGTGAAACTGAAAGCTCTGTGAGAGGCTCTGTTTATGTTATATCCCCGAACACAGGGCTGGGACAGAGTACGTGCTCAATGGTATTCGTCAAATGACAGATGAAAGGATAAACAAACATAGGCAATTCCCCCAAGAGACTGTCCAGCTGGCACTGGCGTCCTCTGTGGCCTGTGAGGTCAACCAAACTGGCTATGAATGGCTGTGTGAATTGATTTACAAAGTGTGCCTGCCTAAACCTCCACTCATTGCACCACACTCCCCCCCTCCTTTCAAGGAGAACTGCATAGACCCAGCGTGTTGATGAAGAACTAGGGTGGGGGGTGTTGCTGAGCACCCGATGTTTGATCAGGGATGCTGGAACTGCTGGAGAAAGACAGACCCCAAGGATGCAGGCGAATGACATGGGACCATGGGTAAGACCTGCCACAGGAGTCTGATCCAGCCAGATTTGGGGAGTTTAGGGGCAAACACCACACCCTGGGAAGGAAAGAAGTCAAAGAAGATGGAGAAACCAAGGGAGGCAGGGGACAGCCAGGAGTGGGACAAGGGCTGGAGAGTCCCTCTTGCCGAGGACATGGCAGCTTGGATTGGTTAAAGCCTACGTTTCAGGGGACAGCCTTGGGGATCCTCTCGCTCCCTATACTGGGTTCTCATCACCTCTCCACTCTGCAACTCAAGATGCAATAATGGTGCCATATTCTTCATCCCCATCTGCCCAACTCTATGCTTCTCCTTTGACTTCCTCCAACCTTTTCAATCCGATGTTCCACGGCTGCTCAATAGAAACCCTGCCCTTCAGTCAAGGGCGCTTCTATACTGTCCCCTGCCCTTTCTACTACTGTTCCCATGGCTGTGCTTTTGCATGCTGTTCCCCGCGGGAGGATACCAGCCCCCCGCAGTCCTCTGCTAAAGTCCAAGCCCATCAAGGCTCCACCCCAGCCACGACGCTCTCCCCTCACACCCCAAACTCCGTGGGATCCTCCCTTCCCAGCGCTCCTTTTGTAGGAAGACAGTGATACTCAGTGAGGCAGAAGGAGCTCAGCACTGCTTTTCTGCGTTCATCCTGTTTTCTCCCTTTGGATCACCAACTGCCAAAGGGCAGAAAGCAGATCAAGTGCTTGGCACGTAGCAGTTGACTTAATAAAGACGTGGTGGACTCATTGAAGGAAAACATCACTCTTGACCAGCAGCGATGTTTATCTAGGACCATTCCTCATCCTTATAGGGTTGAAGTGACATATTTTTCCACTTGGGAGTTTTGTATAATTAAAAAGTCTTTCAGAAATTGGAACCTGGCAGACAAGACAGAATTTTACCTTAACCAAATTACAAGGGAGCAGCTGGAAGCAAAGGAATGTGTAAATGAGAGAATGTAAATGTAAAATCAGAGTTAGCCACAGATACCGGACTTTTACAATGAAGCTTAAAAGGGAATTGGGCTGGGCCTGTAAGAAGGACTAGAACATCTTGTGATACTGTATGGTTGGCTAAATAATGGCCTTCCAAAGATGTTTCCATCTGAATCCCAAGAACCTCCGAATGTCACTTTATATGGCAAAAGAGATGTTGCAGATTTGATTAAATTAAGGATTTAGAGGTGGAGAGAATACCCTAGATTGCCCAGGTGAGAGTGATGTAATCACAAAGATCCTTACAATTGGGAAGCAGGAGCTCAGACTGAGCAGGTGGAGATGCCACGAGGGAATCAACAGGTTGCTGTGATGCAAGGATGGGGTCACCAGCCAAGGAATGCAGGAAGCCCCGGGAAGCTGAACAAGGCAAGGAAATGGATTCTCTTCCAAAGCCTCCAGAAGGAACACAGCCCTGCTGACATCTTGACCTAACCTGGTGAAACTCATTTTGGTTCTTCTGACTTCCAGACTGTAAGAGTATAAATGTATATTGCTTTAAGCCTTTAAATCTGTGGTAGTTTATTACAACAGCAACAGGAAACGAATCCTCTATGCAAAGGCGATCAGTGTGAGAGGAACACCATGTCCTCTTGGAGACACCCTGGGCTCTGAGTCTGAGAATGGGCACCAGGAAGGTCCGTCTTGGCAGCCATGCTCTCAGTTGCATGGCACACGGCCGGGTACACACGATTTAAATCGAACTAGCAGCCCCATGAAGTAGAAGACAGTTTGTGGTGGGAGCTAGAAACCAGGGCTAAAAAACAAGCCAGATACCAGGGACACACACCCTCTCTTTTTTACATTCTGTCTGTGGATAGGTGGATTTTCATGTATCAAAACTGAGAATCCTGGGAAAGCCAGAGATGCTAACATAGCCCCAGTGACCAGCTTGATTCCACTGAATAACTGGCCAATCCAAAGAGGAAAAGAATCCGTCAACTCAACTGGGTTTTCTGAATTGACTTTTATTGTTTCAGATTTGATTTATCTCAAACCCCAGCAGACACCATCTCAAGATTCCCCAGGCAGAGCCCAGATCCTTGGGTTTATCACCAACTTCAAACACCTAAAAATTATCCCCAAAGACAAGATACCCTTCTGTTTCCCAATCATGGAATTTTTCACGCTCTCTATGTATAATCTCTTGAAAGAAAAAAAAAATACAAAACAAAGCAAAATAAAATGGCACAGCTTCAGGTCCCATAAGCAATGAATGCTTTAAAAATATCAGGACAGAAACATCCTCTCAGTCGTGTTTATTTTTTCTTATCTGTAAAAACAAACTGTACACAGTATCTTCACCATGTAATTTCAGGGTGGATCTATGATAAACTGTAGTTAGATAAGAGCAGAGTAAAGACACCTTTATCCTGAGTTTATCCCCAACAGCGAACTTTTATAGATGAGGCTTCAAACAAGGCCACATTTGGAGAAAAGAAAGATCCATGGTGGTAAGTGGCAGGCTTTAATGCAGTTTATAAAACAAACCTCCTAAATGTTTATTTTCCAGTCAAGCTTCTGGCTATAGTTGGGTTAGTACAAGCAACAAATGAAAGAAACCTTCCGAACAGTGAGGTTGGCACCTAAACAATAATAAAGAGAAGTATTAAAACATTTCCAGTATGGTTTCACTCTGAAAACATGTTGAGATAAAATTTCTAAGAATGCAACATAATTAGTAGCTGTCTTTTCTAAGAGTTACATAACCTTAGATTCATATAATCAGGTTTACATAAATAAAAGGTTCTTCCTAAAACATGGAACAATAAGAATATCGTCCCACAGTCATGGTGGAAAGGAAGGCTGTGTTCAGTTCTCCGAGTAAACTTAGCCTAGAATGTCCTTGGCTTAATTCAAATAAATGATTGAGGTTTTTTTTGAGTCTCTCTCCCTCCCTTCTGCCCAAAGGCCCTTATACACCCACAGACTGGTTTATAAGGAAATACGAAAAAAAGCAGTAAGAATGGATAAAGTTCAGTGTATTCTCCACACCAGTGGTTCTCAAGCTTGAACAGGCACAGCTATATGCAAAAATGCAAAAAGTATTTAGAAATACCAAGAATGTATTAAATGTAATTCTGATTCAGATGGTTCCTGAAATACAAAAATCCCTTCTATGCCAGAAGAATGTAATGATTCTGATTGTTCTCTTAACTGGGGAAAGAGAAAGGTGTGGCCTGTCATAACTGGCTCCATGGATACTTAAAAAGATTTTTCTGGGTAAGAATTAGAAGAAAAAAAAAAAGAATCACCCCATCTCCCTTATTCTGTAGCCAATTGCTTGTGGGAAGGGGAGCTGAGCTTTTGGGCCAGAGGAAATAGTGTGGTCCCAAGGCAGGCCCCAGCACACCCCTTCCCTCACCCCATTGCCAGGTCATTAGCCTCATCTTAGCCTAATGCAGCAGGAGTTTCTGGAGAACTCTGGAAAGAGAGCAAAGGGAGCTGCTTCTCACCTGCATTCTGCACACAAGAAGGTAGCCTCAGTGCAGATCCAGTGTGTCTCTGAGCCTCATAGAAAGAGGAGCTACCTCTTTGAAGCTTTGGCCCAGAAATCTACAGGTGAGTTTGTTTCTGGTACTGAGCACATCGCTAGCAGCCACCTGGACGGACACCTGGAGAATGAGGACCAGGCCAGGTGGGGCTGGGTGAGGTCAGGGGAGTGAGCCAGACACTCCACTCAAGACCTTCCATTCCTTTAGCTCCTGAAGACCAGGCAGGCTGTAAGTCCCTGCTCACCAGCCCACGCAGAGAAACTCAGGCTCTGAGAGTGTCCTGAGACCTGCCCCCTGGGAAGCCACAGGTCTGTTTGGCACTAGCGCGGCACCAGCAGGCGATGTGCTGAGGGGTTTGACCGTGTTACAAGTTGCATTTTCAACTCTACCAAACACCTCGTGCTGCGCTGAAAGGAGACAGCTTCTCCGCGACCCGGCTAAGACACGGGAAGGAATCACGGAGTCAGGGCACTGTCCGCTCCCACAGCCTTTCTCGAAGCAGCCACTGCCCTTTGGGGTTCTCTGTCTCATAATAGTCCTCCCCAGGAAACTCCAGGGGCTCCAACGCAAAGAGCTCTGCATCCCACTCCGTGTCTTCTCCTGAGAAGTTGAAAAGGATCTGTCTGGAGCTCCCCAGGCTAGAAGGAAGGAATGAGGCAGAAGGTTTAGTTTGGCTTGGCTGGCCACACAGAGGGAAGGGATGCTCGATGACCACCATTCTCATGGAGACCCTCAGATAACTGCCCTAGCCCTGGCCCTTGAGAAGGACCAAATGGTGTTGCCCTGGGGGCAGTGGGTGCACCTCAGCTGGACCTTGGCCTGGCCTTGAAGGGGGAGGATGGGTGGTGAGGGCTGGGTTGTGATTTTAATATGTCCAGTGCATGGTGTGTTACTGTGGAAGGAAAATGCTATCTAGAAAACCCCTAAATCCAATAGGGTCTAGTGGCTTTTGGAGAAGCAAAACAAGACAGCTGATGAGGCTTGGCAGGCCCTTCTGTTGCAACAGGCAAGGCCCTGCAGCATGGCCTGGGTTGCCCAAACCAAGAAATAACTTACTGCTCTGAGTGAGTAGAGGACAGGAATTCGATGGTTAGTGATGGGAACCAGGCGTGGGGAAGGAAGATCTAAAAGGAAAGAGGCCAGAGGAGATGGTGGTAAGATGGGCCAAGAGGCACCTGGCCAGCAAGTTCTTCACCTCGGAGCCTGCCCAGTGCCTTTGGGACAGGGGCATCTCATTCACTTGATGTTGTCTTCCACTCGGCCCTATGCTCTATTCAACCTCAAACTCATTAAAAGTCTGTAGCACAAGATGTGTCAATGGCACTGGGGGGAATCCTTGAAGGCAGATGGCACAGTGCATGGGCTAAGTGGCCAGAGAGAAAGGGAGGCAGACCCAGGAAGAAGCAGGTTAGGAGCAGGAAAAAGCAGTGAACCAGGCCAGAGTGCAGACTACCGAAAAAGGTGTCGAAACTAAGACCTCCCGACAACATATGTATATGTAAGAATAAGCTGGCATGAAAGATGGAGCTCAAGGTGCCTTAAGGATCACCCCAAGCGTCTGGAGGCCATGCGAGCATCTTGGTCATGCAATTTAGCCCAATCACTTACTCTTTTTTGCAGGCTTTGGGCTTAAATTTCCAGGTGTTGAAGGCCCCTTCCACAGCCTTGGGCAAATAAATGGGGTGCCTCTCGAGTCTCCCCTGAGTGCCCATGGTCCTGCGCTCGGTACTCCTTAGAAACTGGCCGTCTACCGTGTGCACAGCATGGGCAGGAATGTCCTCGGAGTGTCTGCGTGGCACCCGCAGGATCCAGTTAGAATGCAAGCTGTGCTCCTGGGAGCTGGTGGCCACTGGAAGAGAAAAGCATGTGACCCGGGAAGGAAGGACCTGCCATTGGGAGGAGCATAAGGCAAAGGAGAGGGTGGACTGGACTGAAAATTTACCAGAAGTGGGTACAGACAACCATGTTTCTAATAACGAATTCTTAGAAAGGCCTGATAGCCAAGCAAAGAAGATTTGGCTCTGCAGTTGCGGTGCAGGAGGAATGCAATGGAACATATATATGTCCACTAAAAATGAGGACATGGGCCAGGCGTGGTGGCTCATGCCTGTAATCCCAGCACTTTGGGAGGCTGAGGCGGGCAGATCACCTGAGGTCAGGAGTTGAGGCCAGCTGGCCAACATGGAGAAACCGCATCTCTATAACAAATACAAAAATTAGGCAGGCATGGCAGCAGGTGCTTGTAGTCACAGCTACTCAGGAGGCTGAGGTAGCAGTGAGCCAAGACTGCACCACTGCACTCCAGCCTGGACGACAGAGTGAGACTCTGACTAAAAAAAAAAAAAAAAAAAAAAAAATAGGACACAGATCTATATTTATTGACTTGGAAAGTAGCCCAAGATGTATTGTAAATTGTTAAATAAAATGAGATCCTAGTTTTATTTTGAAAATATTAAAATGAGTCTGTAAGTGTGTATGTATGAGTGTGTGTGTGTGTGTGTGTGTGTGTGTGTGTGTGTGTTAACACCACAGTCAGAAGGACATATCCCCAAATGTTAACCATGATGATTATCTCTGGGTGGTAGTTTTGCAGGTCATATTTTTTACTTTCTTCTTTATGCTTCTGTATGTTGTCTGTTTAATTTGATTTACAATGAACATATAGTATTGTTATCAGAGGAAAGTGGCCATTTCATGAATTTGATAAAAATGAATTTGGTCATTTTTATTAAAAATTATAACTCTGAAAATGACCCTTGCATCCTTACTGAGTTCTGTCATCCTTTCACCAATACCCTGACTTTCCTAGGCCTCCCTCACTCCCCGGAGCAGGGTTGCTCTCTGTCAGGGACTGGAGGGGCTTGTGGGAGAGGAGGAGGGTAAGAATAAGCTTGGGAGCAGGGTTAACCTTCTGTGAAACTGCAGAGAACCCGAGTTGAGACCCCAAATCTCACAGATACACATCTATCAAGGCCAGAACAACAATAAATCACAATCTTCTTTCAAGCATTAGAGAAAATGCTCATGAATTATTTAATATTGGTACCAAAAGCTGTGACCTTGGTATAAAGGGCCAGTTAGCCCACTGAATAAGACCATCATTAATTTACACCATGGGGGGCAAGTTAAAGATTTAACAAGTGGTTTGACAGTCACAGGATGGAATATAAAGGTGGCTCAACTGATGAATGTGTTTGGATTCTTTGCTCTCCAGCAAGAGGGGCACCCCAGGACACACCTTGGTGAGGAGGGACTCGTGGCCTCAGGCCTCACCCCACTCCAGCTGCAGCTGTCCAGGCTGGGTCTGGGCAACCACCGTGGGCCTCTCCTGCCCTACACACCACCCTACTACCTAGCCTAGGCAGAGTCAGAAGCTGGATTCTCAAATACAGTTTGTCTATTATTCCCTTTCTTTTTTTTTTAAGTTGTGGTGAAGTATACAGAACATAAAATTTACCATCATCACCATTTTTTTTCTGAGACAGAGTCTTGCTCTATTGGCCATGGTAAGTGGAACACAGGGAAAACATTTTTGTCCAACTATGGCCCCAGAATGTTAGAGGGGCAGGCTGGAGCAGTGGCAGCAGAGACAAATGAAGCAAGAGATCCCCACGGAGGACGGGCTCAGGGCCAGGCTCCAGCTTGGAGGTGCAGGGCTTCCCTTTGATCAGGGAGATGAGATTCCTGATGGCCTATCCTGTAAGTCCACCCCGGAGCCCCCAGCCCATCCTCACAGCATCACAGCCCTACTCGCCTTCAGCCACCATCTTCCCACTGCCTTCTGGCACTCACCATCAAAGTCCACATCTTCATTTGGCGGGCTGGCCTCGGCAGTCCGGGGCCGTCTCTCTGTGTCCAGCTCTGCAATGATGGAGTCAAAGAAAGCAATGGCCTCAGCCACATCGGCGCTGAACTGCGAGTACTTCTTTGGTGTTGCTTTCTGCTAGAGGTGAAGGGGAGAAGAGGGAGTTGCCTGAGCCAGTAAGCCAGAGACTCAGAAAAGGATTGAATGTTGCTAAAACAAAATGCGCATGGAGTTAGGGATTTGTGAGGTTTCAAAGGTAGCTATGAGTAAGTGCCCTGTGGAAGGAAGGTAGATATGCCAGGCCCATAATTGCTGTAGGTCAATGGATTTCTAATTATCTCAGGAAGGGAGACTGAAAGGACAACAAGATCTACTTCTTTCTTGGTCACAGATTTGCTGTCAGACATTAGACAAAATAATTAGTGTTTTTTTAAGCCTTCTTCCTTGCTGATAAACACCCAATTAGGAGGCTGTACAGTTGCTTAGGTAGGTGATGAGACGCTCACAGCGGGAAAGACATGATAGATCTCTCAATATGTTGAAAATGCTCTAAGAGTTGTCAGTTTCTATAATAACCCAATTGTACATTTTAAAATAAAAGAGTATAATTGGATTTTTTGAAACACAAAGGATAAAGGCTTGAGGGGATGGATACCCCGTTTTCCATTAAGTGATTATTTCACATTGCATGCCCATCTCAAAACATCTCATGTACCCCATATATACATACCCCATAAATATATACCTACTATGTATCCACAAAAATTAAAAATAATTTTTTTAAAAAAAATAAAGATGTCAGTTTCTAAAGGGACCAAATTTACAGTCAAATCATAGAACAAATTAAAATTAGTATGACTGTTTGAAAAGTACAAGGAATAATAAAATAGAGTTTCAAAAATCTATTCAGTAGCTAACCAGGTTCCAGGCTTTTCCTGACTGTTCCTTTCATGATCTCAGTTCATCTTCACAATAATCCAGTCATGAGTGACTGACATCATGGAAGTTCAAGATCCATGGTGGGTTTCAGTGGAGAATTCATGGCCTCCAGAATTGACCAAATCAATATGTGTACCAACAAAAAGCTCTCTGAGGAATTTAGGAAATAAGAGAACTTGGGGAGAGATAAAAGGGACAGATGTGTTAACATAGGCACATTTGATCCAATGTAGATGTATTTTATTTTATGTAAGCATTTTCGAAAACAGTGAATATGATTTAATTATAGACTGGTGTGTCAGGAAAGAAAACAACAGCTTCTCTGTGTGTACAAGATGTTTATTAAATGTATGCATTTTGTACTACTAAGAAACATTTTTAAATAGAGAAGTTTTTTCGTTTTATACTTGCAAAATATAAAAGGAAAGCTCTAAGAGCTTTCTTAGAGGAAGATGTTGAAGGACCACAATATACACCCTTGATATGATTTGTCTCTGTGTTCCCACCCAAATCTCATCTTGAATTGTAATCCCTACATGTTAAGGGTGAGACCCGGTGGGAGGTGACTGGAGCATGGTGGTTTCCTCCTTGCTGCTTTTGTGATAGTAGGTTCCCATGAGATCTGATGGTTTAACAGTGTGGCACCTCCCCTTTGCTTGCTCTCTCTCTACGGCTGCCTTGCCAAGAAGGTGCCTACTTTCCCTTTGCCTTCCACAATTGGGTTTCCTAAGGTCTACCAAGTCACATGTAACTGTGAGTCAATTAAACCTCTTTTATTTACAAATTACCTAGTCTTGGGTAGTATCTTTATAGCAGTGTCTCCTGGCCCTTCTGCTCTGTCACATTGGTCACCTCTCCACCTGCTTCCTGACTGGCAGAAGCTTTTGGAAATCTCTTTTCCATGGATGGCCTTTATCTTTTAAAATGAAACTGAGGAGAGGAAAAGTAGAAATCTCAAGAACAAAGAGAACAAGAGAAAGGCCACCCGTGAAAGAGAGATTTCCAAAAGCTTCTGCCAATCAGAAAGCAGGTGGAGAGGTGACCAATGTGATGGAGGAGAAGGACCAGGTCCCAGAACATCATGGGTGGGGTAGCAGCTGAGAAGAGGTACAATTCAACCTTCAGGAAGTGAAGATGCTCTAGACTGGGTGACTCCAGGCACACCAAGGGCTGGGCATGGGATAAGACTAAAAAACCAGGAGGCTTAGTCTGAGTGCAGCAGGCCCAGCTGCCAGGCATCCTTCCTGCAGGCAGGTGACAGAGGCCTCAGCCTGGAGGTAGGTCCATACTTGTTTATTCTCCCTGCGTTTTCTTTTGCTGCTTCCTCTGCCTTGGATGTTCTCACTGGCTGACTCTGATTCATCCACTGAAGTTGGCTGAGACTGCTCCTTCTCCAGGAAGCTTACTGTTTTCCTGGGCTAAGTTTCCATCCTCTAGGTTCCCATGGGTCTCAGTACCTAACCTTAGTCTAGTATGACACATATCATTTTAGAGACTTTTGGTGAAGTGGAGAAGAGAGAAACAAAGAATGGAGAAAGCCACCCAACCCAGCCGGACCCCTGAGGAAGTTTAAGTATTATTTAATAATAATGCAAGGTCCATAGTGGTTTTGCACCTCAAAACCCTCCTCCACATGGAGGGGACGTCTCCAAGTCTCCAGAATTCAACTCCCATCAGTGTTTAGCTTAATGCAGTTGATTATTTTAATATTTTATCATTTAATTAAAATACATTATTATAAATTATAATAAGTCCAAATTAAACACACCAGTTTGGGAACAAATGTAACTTATTTTTAATAAGCACATCATTCAACTTATGAAGCTGAGAAGTACATAGGCATATCCTAGTTTTAAAAATGTTTTATTATAAAAATTTTTCAATAGAAAGACTATAGAAAAGAGAGCCATGAATCCCATACACTCATCATCAACAACCACCGTTCACCTTTCTGCCATTCTTGTTCATCTATCAATCTCTCACTTTTTTTTTCTGAAAGCTAATCCTCAAAGAGATAATTTTATTCATAAATACTTCAAAATGTATCTTTAACAGATAAGAGTTTTCAGCAACATCACCCACAATATTATTATACTCAACAAAACCGGTAATTTCTTAGTATCAGCAAGTACGCAATTTATGTTCTATTTTTCTTGACCGACTCAAAAATGTCTTGTACAAGTTGGTTTGTTCAAGTTAGGATCCAAACAAGGTCCACATTTAATTGCTACCTGTTCCAGTCTCTTTAATGTTTTATGCAGGTCATTTAATTGAAGAATCTGTGTCATTTGTTCTATAGACTTTCTCACATTCTACATTTGACTGACTCCTTCTTCTGGGAGTTGGTTCACATGTTTCTCTATTCCCCAAATCCCCTATACTGGTCCTTAGATCTGGGGCAGGGCTGTCCAGCGGGACTTTCTGTAGTGCTTGCTGGGAATGTTCCACATGTGCACTGTCCACTATGGTAGCCACTAACCACGTGTGGCTATTGAGTACTTGAAAAATGGCTACCATGATTGAGGAACTGAACTTTTAATTCTTAAATTTAAATTTAAATAGCCATATGTGACTGGTGGCTACTGAATTGCAAAGTTCAGATTTAAAGGTTTAAATCAATTCAGATTTAATTTTTTAAATAATGTTAGTAGTGCTGTGTATCACATATTAGGAGGCACACAATGCATGTTTTCCTGTTTTATGCAATGTTGACTTTGATTGGGGGTTTATGTGATGTTGACTTGATCCATCAACTAGAAAATTTGCCATCTACCTTTTACTGAATGCTTTTAGCAGTTATGCCTAGATTCATTATTTTACTACTAGTTGCAAAATGTTGCTTTTCCAGTTCTTCAACCTTCCTGCATTTATTAACTGTGCTTTTGGTATGAAGAACTTTCCCTCATTAACCACACAGTCTGTTTAGGAATGGCAGAATACTTGCTCTTTTTCTCTCATATAATAAATTGATACCCTAGAAAGTTCTCAAGATAACCAATAAGGTTCATTTGCTTGTTTGTTTGGGGGGGGGTAATATTTTAAATTCATGTATTTTTAACATATTTGATGTCATTTCATCAGTTGTAATTATCCTTTTTGATACTCCCACTGTCCTGTATTTTGACATCAAGAACTCTTTCAAGGTGGATCCTGAGTCTCTTTGACACAATCCTGGTATCCTTGAGAGCCTCTGAACTTTTAGACATAGCAAATGCCCAATATTCATCTTGTACATTTTCTACTCCAGACCTGGGTTCTGTTACTTCTCCAAAAACACTTAATTTTTAGTTGGAAGTGGTATTTAGACAGCACAATATACAGGTTAGGGATTTTATTGCTACAGGGTTGTCATTACTTCTAGGCCTTTTCAGTGTAATAAACTAGAAAACAGTAATTTTTTTAGAAATAAAACAAATTTTGAGTTCATACTGATACTTGCAATTCAAATTAAAACACTGTGTTCATGGTTCATCTTCCCACACTTTTCATTACTGCTACAATACATTTCACTTTTAATTATGCTGTAAACACCCAATATATTGCTACCCTTTTTGCTTTAGACAATTAGTTATAATTTAGAGAATTTTTAAATGTTTTAAACCCACAAATTGTATTTTTACCTTTTTCCAGTCGTCTTCACCTCTTTGTGTGGATCTAAGTTTCTATCTGGTACCACATGTACACTTCAAAATGTATCCTTAATATTTATTGTACTACAGGTCTGCTTAAGAATGAATTCTCATAGTTTTTGCTTGTCTAAGAAATATTTCTTTTGCTTTCAGAACTCTGTTGACAAGTATTTTTTTCTTTCTTTCAGTGCTTTAAAGATATCATTTTTGATATAGTTTGACTGTGTCCCCACCCAAATCTTATCTTGAATTGTAGCTCCCATAATTCCCATGTGTCATGAGAGGGAGCGGGTGGAAGGTAATTGAATCATGGGGACAGGTCTTTCCCGTGCTGTTCTCATGATAGTGAGTCTCTTGAGATCTGATGGTCTTATAGAGGGGAGTTCCTCTGCACAAGCTGTCTTGCTTGCCTCCATGTAAGATGTGCCTTTGTTTCTCCTTTGCCTTCCACCATGATTGTGAGGCCTCCCCAGCCATGTGGAACTGTGAGTCCATTAAACCACTTTCTTTTATAAATTACCCAGTCTTGGGTATGTCTTTATCAGCAGAGAGAACAGACTAATGCAG